AACATGTGAATTATGTTCGATTGATTGAACATCCCAAACTTCAGCAACTAAGGAATAATCAACCCCTTCAAGAAGTTTGTCAAACCATATCTGACTGAAATCATACTCAAATTCAATCAGCCCATTATCAACAACCTCTAATGTTAAATTATATGGATCCTCAAAACTAACCTTTTTGCTATGATACATTACTGCCTCATTTATTTGATCAGTATGTAACTATAAAATTTTAGGCATCATATACTTCTGCAGAATATTATATATATTGGAGAAAAGTCATCCAGAAACACTTGGTGTCATATATGATGCTGTTTTTTTATGCCAAGCTGCAAACCGACCAGCAAATTGTTCTTCTGCAACATGTGATTCAATTCAGTTAAACAGGACATGAAGTTGAGTTCTTTCATTTACAGTCTGTTTGATTATACCGTTTATTGATTCAGATCATTGGGTAGACGTTATCCCTGCTGTAAAAACCTGACCTGTAAATGCTTTTGCCCAGGTTGTTTTACGTGGATCAAGCTGTCTAAGTATGTATTCAGTTGATTTTGGAAAATCAATTATAAGTTGTTTCCAGTATTCCTCAAATGTTTTTTTACATAAAACGTTTTGGGCATGATAAAATGCTTTGATAAAGTCTGCATAACAATCACCAAGAAGCATTGCAAGCTGCTTTTTAATATTTTGCTCAATGTGCTAAACACAATAGAGAAGGTAGGTATCAGGGTATATTTTGGGAACAACACTTTCAAGGCCTGGATCTGCATCAATCATAAAAGCTCCGGGCTGAACTCCTGTAGCTTCAATTGTTTGCTATAAAACTCATCTATAACTTTCACTTGTTTCATTGGGCAATATTGTCTGTGCAACAATTCGTGATTTGAAATTATTATCTACAACAGCAAAAATGCTTAATGGCAGTTTATAGATATATTATCATTTAAAATAATATCTGCATAACGTCGCCAAAGTTCTCATTGTTCAGGATCATATAGAATACATCTTGTAATCTATTTGTTTCTGGATCAATTAATGATTGAACATATCAATCAAGATTCTTGGTACGTTCTTTTTCAAAGTGTTGGAAAAGCTTTGCGGTATCACACCTCTGTATATCATGAGTACGACGAACCTTATATATGTAGTTTTTCACATCATAGTCCACAATTGTGGCATCAGGAAATAACCTACGGAGTAACCAAACCTGGGATGAGACATCAATATCACAAATTGTATAACTTTCAATAAACTCCTTCATATCTGTAGTAAGTTTCTGATAGCTAGTAGCAAAGCTAACATTTTCAGGAATCAACTGATGGTTGTGTTCAGAATGCATCAATATCAATTTAATTATAGTTTTATTATCAGGGCCCTTACTCTTGTACACATTCACCAGAAAAGACAACCAATCCTTTTTGAACCTTTATTTCTTTGCTTTTTGGGTAGAGCAGTTTTACGTAAGACATATTTACCAGACCATTCACAGTCCCAGGTATGCTGTCATATTATCTACTTATTTTTTCTGATCACAAAGTTATTTTGACATGCGTAACGTTTTAATGTTTTCTGACATTCCTTCCAAGTTTCAAAGGTTTTTTCATAGTAGATCTCAATGAAGATTGGAGATAGGTGTCCATGTTGATAATTATCTGTATTTTTAGAGGTATCATCTGATTTACTAATAATATCAATGTCCTCTTCAAGTTCAATACCAGGTCCATCTTCAGGTTCAATACTAGGTCCATCTTCAGTATCCTTTTCACATTCAATTGCAGGTCTATCTTCAGTATCCTTTTCACGTTCAAAACCAAGTTCACCTTCTATATCATTTTCAAATCTTAAATCATTATTACTTTTAATTTCACCATGAACTTTCATGTATTAATGGTGAAATATTTTCTATATTAGCCAAGGGTCTTTATGCCATTGAAAAAAAGAGTGGGTGTCAGAATAATGAACGATTTTGTTGTACAGTTGGAAAAAAAAAAAAATTTAAGTTAAAGGGAATCAAAAAAGTTTTGTTCACAAGAAAAAAGTTGCTTATTTAACTTTTAGAAGCTTTTAGCTACCACGGTACTAATCTGTTATAAAAATATATATATATATATATTAAAAAAAAAAAAAAAGAGCAAGAGAAAGTGCGAAATGCGAAATGCAAGAGCACAAGTGCGAAAAGCAAAACAAGAAAAAGTAAGTTAAGAGTGCTTGAAGGTGCAAAAAATGAGATGAGAGAATGAAGAACAAGATATGAGAACGAAAAGTAAGATAAGAGAACAAAAAGCGAGATGAGAATGCACGAATAATGAAAAAGAAGATGCGTTATGGTAAGGTTAACCTCTTTCAAAGAATGAAAGCTGTGCAGTAAAGAAAAAAAAAGGTTATTAGTGAGACTAGTGCTTTTAATTACCCCCAAATACTGTGATATTGTTTGTTCTAACCTTTAATGCTAACAGTAAGAAAAAAAGCATAATTACATACATCATGTATATGTTCTATATAAATGTCTAATACGATGATGATATCTTATTGTTCATATTAATAGTGACATATTTTAATTTTGTATCACTACTTACATATGACAATATCATATGCGTGCTAGTTAACTTTATCCTTATATTTATATTAAACTTATTTTATTTAATTTAAAAATAAATACATATTTAAAAATTATAATTTAACAAATTTTAACTTAGCTAAATTATACGAAACAAATATATTTTAAAATATTATTTGATCTTCTTTACCTATAATAATATATTTGTTTTTCTATTTTTAAAAAATTTATACAATGATCAATAGTAGTTATATTAATAATACTCTTTTCATCAAAATATTGAAATAATTTTATATTATTTCTTGAAATTTCTATATTTCTTACTCAATGTATATAAGCTAATAAATTTGTTTCATTTTCATATTTATAAGTAGAATAATATAAAACTTGACTATAAAAATCTTGTTCTTCAAAAACAACAGGTGCTTTTAGATGATATGTATTTTTTCAACAAGAAATTTTGTCTATGATAATTGTAAAATATTTATATTTTTTATAATTAAATATAATTACAAAATAGTTTATAATTTAAAAATAATTATATACTGCAATTGAATAATTGTTTCTTTTTATATCTTTATCATTATTAAACTAATAATTGATTCAGATTTTGTTTTTAATTTGCTGTATTTGTAAATTTTAGTAGTATTGATTTAAATTTTTTAAGGATTTTACTAAAACGCATCTATGGTATTTTATACCTATATATACATTATCTCAAAAACTGGCTAATTAATCAATATGAGGTGTTCTAAGTAAAAATGTTCTACACTCCAAAAAACCCTTCCCAAACCCTAATCCTAACCTTAATATTAACTTTAGTATAAAAAATTAATATTAAAAATTTTATATACAAAATTTAAAAAAACTTGTAAAATTTTAAAAAATATAATAAAAATATATAATAGGTGCAAAACCATCATAGATGTGTTTTATAATAATTGTTTTTTAAAATATATATGATTTAATTAAATTTAAGAAATCTAAAAATATATAGTAGATACAAAACTACTATAGATACATTTTATAATAAATAAAAATATTTATCTCTATATCTTTTAATAACAAATTAAATTTAGTTGTATAATATTGTTTAATTTTTTGAATTTTTCTTTTTGTCATTATATGTTCTTTTGATAAAGAAAATAATTTTTCTTTATTAAAAGATTCATTAAAACTTGATTTAAAAATTTGCTGATTATATTTGTAAATATGCAAAATGTGTCCATATAGTTAATTGGTTTATTAAATTTTTATATAGATATACATAAGAATTAACTAAAGGAATTAACATTCCATATAATCTTTCTAATAGAAATTGCCATGTTGCCTATGCTAGACCAGTTTTATAAATTGATTTTGCAATATGTAAAAGATAATAAAAACTAATAAGAGTTACCTGTAAATGTTTAGATTTTTTTTGATAATATTCTTTAAAAAAATATATTAATTAAAATTTTTTAAAAATATTATTTTATAAAATTATATTTTAAAAACTTACTGTTCATAATGTTTAATAAATTTAATTAATAGTATTTTGATTTCTTTAAGTTCATCTTTTGATAAGATTTGATTAAGACATAATTTTGCTACTTTAATGAAATTTGATCATCTATTTAAATATCTTAAAAATTAATAATTATTTATAATAATAATTTTTTAAATTTATAAATTATTAAAACTAATTACTTTTCTGAAAGATATTTATATAAAAGTGGAATTGAATATAAAATTATCCAATTATACTACTCCTCAGCTTTAAAAGATAAGTAATATTTTTGAATATTAATAAGAGGTCTACCAAAATCTGTTGGTATTGTTTTCTTATTATATTCAATTATTTTTTCAATTTTATTTTAATTATTTTTTAAAATTTTATATTTAGTATTATTTAAATTTTCATTTTTAAAAAATTTTTCTATAAAGTAACAAAACATATAAGGAGCAATATTTTCAAAAAATGTCTACTAGAAATAATAAAGAAAAATTAATTGAAGATAATTCAAATAAAATGCTATATCCATTTATGTCTATTAATATAATAAATAAATAAATTAAAATAAGTTAAAATTTAATTAATAATAAAACTTATCTTTTTTGTATTCATTACTATTTAGAATATAGCTATTATGAGAATAAATTGATAAATTTTCTGGATTATAATTATTGTCACAGATGATCGTAAAATCAGATGATAGTGAAATTTAGAGTCTCAATTTAAAAATATAAGCTCTACCAAAATCTACCTATACTCTTTTACTAATAACTCTAACCCTAAATTCTAACTTAACTATAAAAAAAGCTGACAAAAAAGGCTCAAAAAAATTTTAAAAACCGTACATAAAATAGATCCAAATTTCATTATCATCCAATTTCACGATCATCCATGACAATTATTATATTCTTGTAATGATTGAAGTAGATAATATATATGTTTAGCAGTTTCAGAATAAGATTCTATTATATAACAATATTGATATCTATATTTAGTATTATGATCTAAAAAATATATAACTTTAGATAAAACAAGAATATTTCCAGACCATAAAAGAATATAGCTATGCAATTTAAATGTCTCTTTTAATGTTGCATCATAACAAGTTACACTACTTACAAAATTTAATTTAATTAAGGGGAATAACAGATAAGAGGTCATTATAGCCTCCTGGGAATTGTCAATTGACTATTCTCTAGAGTACCAGAGTCAGTCATTTGATAATTACAAAATTAAAATAAAAATTATATAGATTTTGCATATTTTATATACTCCTTGCATATTTTATATACTCCTTGCATATTTTATGCATCCCATGTATATTTTATGCATGATTATGCATAATTATGCATAATCATGCATAAAATATGCAAGGGGTACATAAAATATGCAAGGAGTATATAAAATATGCAAGGAGTATATAAAATATACAAAATCTATATAATTTTATTTTAATTTTGTAATTGTCAAATGATTAACTCTGGACCCTGGGGAATAGTCAATTAACAATCCCCAGAGAGGCTATAATAACCTCTTATCTGTTACTCCTCTAATATATTTAATACTATTAATTATATCATTTAAAATTAAAAAAAATTATATTTAAGTTGTTTTAATTTATCAACCAATGGTTATAAAAAAACTATTAAAATCTTTAGAAGATTTTGGTCTAGATATAACTATATTAATTATTAAATTTTCTTTTTTTACTCTTTTTGATGGTGAAAGATTTGCATTTAAAAGTAAAATTATCTAATAGTTATTTTATTTTTGTTTAAAAACTTGATAGCTATCTATAGATATAATCAAAGTAATATCTCTATAATCTAAAAATAAACCAGATGCTATTAAAGTTTTGTATCTATTATCATCAAAAATATCTCCAATTTTACTATTATTGGAGATATATTCTTCTCTTGATATATATTCATAATAATATCTTAGATCTTTTGCTCTTAATAAATCGTTATATTATAATTTTAGACTATCAATAATTGAAAAATATGCTAACTGTTTTTTAGACTTTTTAGTCTTGTTTTTAATTTTGTATCATAATTCTTTACATATAAGATATATATTTATATTGGTATTATTTCTAGTAAATGCACAACATAAATTCCAACACATATCTATAAGGTTTGGTTTAAATAAAACTATTTTTTCTAAAATATTTCGAAGTCGATAAAGAGAAATATTAGAAATATTAAAGATTTCTAATATTTTATTAAATACTTGATCAGTGATTGTATATTTATTTTTAATATAAAAAAGACAAAATCTTTTAATAGATGATTCGCTAATAACCTGGTTCAAAATTTTTTTTTATATATAAATTTTATTATAAGTGCAGATACACAGCATCTATATCTAAAACTTTTTTTATACTAAGTAAATCACTTTTAGGCTTCTAATAAAAGTTGTAGAGCTTATAAAAATATATTTAATATTATAATGATATTAAAATTAGCCTGGTAGTTTTTGAAAAATCTTTAAAAAACTTCTTTTTTACATATAAAATTTTTTTAAAAAAAATTAATTTTTTTTAAAGAAATTTTATA